TTTTGTCACACAAATGGAGATTTCTTTTGGTGGTATTTAATAGCCACTGGGTGTTTTATTTTTTGAGCTATAAACAAAAAAAAAGCAAACAATTAAAAAAAAAAAGATTTTCTTTGTTTCTATTATAAAATTTTGCAAACAGGTAATTTTTCTCTTTCACTGATGTGCGTTGATGAGGCTGCACTGATGGGCACTGATGAGTTGGCATGGATAGGTGGCACTGATGATGCTGCACTGATAAGGCGGCACTGCTGGGCAGCAATGATGGGTGGCAATGCTTGGCGGCACATGTGGGTGGTGCTACAAGGCACTACTGGGCACAGGTGGGTGGCACTGATGGGCACAGGTGATTGGCACTGCAGGGCACAGGTGGGTGGCACTGATGGGTACAGATGTGCAGCACTGATGGGTACAGGTTGATGGCACTGCTGTGCACTGATCATCAGGGCCCTGATCATCAGTGCCGATCACTTCTCTGACAATTGTCGGTTATCGGCAGTACTTTCCTCACTCTGTGACAGCGTGAGGAAAGTGCAGCCGATAACTGGCAACTGTATTTGCCCGGTGATCTGCTGTGTCATTGGACACAGCTGATCATGTGGTAAAAGGCCAACGTGATTGTCTATTTACCATAACACTTGATCAGCCGTGACCGTAGGACACAGCTATCACTAGCGACGCTGGGTGTGCGCCACTAGGGGCGTGTTCTGGAATTACATCCATGGACGTTGTCCTAGAACTAGACAACCGCGCTGCTATAGCGCGGTAGGGAAGAGGTTAAAATTCTCCTGCTGCTGGCCAATTTTACACTGTCATGGCATTTTCAGGCTCTTGTACAACCTGTACTCTTTATCTAGAGTTGACCAGTTCTCCGTCATTAGCCATATCCTGCTCCTTGCCAATTTTGCACTGCTTTCATTTTCTGTGGTATCTTAATTCTTAATGAGAGTTTGAAAGAAACTCCATGGACCCCTCTAAATATGTAACTATATACAGTAGCAATAAAAAAACAACTGATCAATAACAGCACCCAGGATGCCCAGTTGTCTGTTTATGTTACAATAGCCAAGGAATCTGCTGTCATTAATCATCATTATCATTCATCATCAACATGAATACAGTGCGTAAACATTGGCAGGTGGTCATTGTGACTGATGAGAATTACATATCTGAACAGCATAATTGATGTGGATTACATCAGGGAACATAATTAATAAAAAATTTATTTTTGTGGGGGTTTTTTAATAAAGGATGTTTAAGGTGTGTAGATGATTGTTTATTGTTAACCCCTGTACTCATTTCCCTAGTAGGATGCAGAGTCAGTATATTTTGGAGTACCCTTATTAAAAAGGGGCTTTCCATGTTTCACCATAAGTCCCCCCTTATTATCCCCACATTTGAAAAAGGTGCTTTGCTCGGGACTTTATATATCCTATTGCACAGTACCCCCCTCCCCACACATTGGTAAAGGCATGTGGTATAATCTAGTACAGGAAGGAGAAGCACATGCTTGCTACCCTCGTTTTCCTGGCCACCCAGGCTGTATACATGATTAAGGGGCTGTGTGGAATTTTAGAGGGAACCCCATGTTATTTTTTTTTTTAAAGAAATTATAGCAATTAATACAATTCTACTGTACCCCTTTCCAACAGTGCACATATTGGTAGGAATCAACAATGCATACAGCAATTGGCCTCCCATAGACTTTACTAGGGTGTACCAGTTCTGGTTCAGGATTAGCTGAACGCTTATAGACCAAACTCAGGATTATTCACTTGTCCCTAATAATAAATTGAAAGGTTGTAATATCTCCAGTAAACTGCAACTTTCCTACATTTTAGGGTTGTTTTACAAAGAGAATAGAGGCTGTTCACCTAGCAAAGTAAAGATTAATTTTGGAAAGTATATGTTCATCTGTGTTTACTTTGAATACCCAATCATGTTTGAGGGAATTAAAAAAAATAGAAAACAGGATTTTTGTAGCAAACGACTGGATATGCAAAGTAAAAACACTGGCACCTTATTCACCAACATTCACTTTGCATAATGAACACTCACTTTGTTGTTATGCATTATGTGCATTATGAATACTGAATCAATTTACTAAGTCCTCTAGCAGTATGTATTACTTTGGAATTCTTGGAGATTTAGTAGAACCTACAGTACATTGTTTTTCTGCTCCCAGTATCTACAAGGCAACTAATTAATTAGGGATCAAAGTATGCAGTACACTTGTTTTTTCCTTTATTTGCAAATACATCAGGTGAAAGTACATAATAGTAGTCGTAGGTAGCAGAGTATTTAGAACCAAGAAAGCCAAGTAAGAACATATTCTACTTCACCATTGTTATTATAGACAATATTCTCTTTTTGATTCTTAATTAAAAAATATTAAAAAACCTGATCTTATGATTATAAAAATGTGCATATAAAGATTATTATACAAGATAATATACAATTTGCATGTACTGCTTACATCTTGCAAATGTTTGTATTTTACAGTGTATAGATTTTCAGGCATATTCAGTAAAGATGTCCATAAAACATTTTCAATTGCATAAAACTATTTCCTTGCAAAAAATGCATTTTTGCATCATTAGGACTCTTTGAAACGTTTTCTAGCATAAGTTGGGAACTATAGGAAAACTGACAGGGATTCATATGGTCTAATATGGAAAGGAAGGGCCTAATGGTATAGACAGATCTATGTCTATGGTGGTGAATTGAAACACGTTGAACTTGTCAAAGCTTTTAGTGGTCCTGGCTGGTAACAGCCCCAATTGGAAGTCTCCATATGCAAAAAAAAAAATAAAAAAATTGCAACTTAATACATGCCCAACACAACTCAATGAAAGGATGCTGAAGGGTACATAATATTGATCTAATAGTATACGCTCCACGTTCACTTTAGGAATTTTAGAGATCAAGTATAAATTAAATGCATTAATCCATGCTGTATCAATGAAAACTGAATTTCCTTTAGTTTTCTTGTAGAACTCGAACTCCTTCTCACATATGACATACTGTAAAATAACAGATCTAATATTTACAGAACATCATACGATAACACAAGCATTTGGTATTTTCACCAGTTTTCACCTAGTTGCTAGTCCCATGATTTACTGCACATTTAACAGCCGTTTTGCTACTCTAACATGTGTTTACTTTGAATACCAGTGGAACATTTCTAAAATTTGAAGTATCCATAAAACTGCTCATAGATCTTTGCATTGCAGTAAAATTAAAACAAATCAGAAGTGAACCAGTTCCCAAAGATGGAGTTTTATAAACCCATTTTTTATTACATTCTTAGCTCAAAAAGTATACAGTATTAACAATTGCCTAAGTCACTTCAGCTTTTGTAAATAAGAATTGCCTTAAATAATGCACAAACATAGTTGATACAACACTGATGTTGACTTTATAGTAAAGAGACAGCTACAGGGAAAGATTATAGCTATCCTACAGAATGACAAAATTGCTACCCCCCATCATTTTTTCCTAAAATATCATGTTACTATAAACAAGTGCCTAGTATCATGGACCTCTCAACTTTCACCGCTCCCTTGGCCACAAATAGCCTTCCCTCTAAACACAGAACAGGTCTTAGCTTCTTATTCTGATCCAGCTTTTCTCAAACACATAAAAAGCAGCATGCAATGGTTCAGTGAAGGTGGCCATAAATGTGTACAAGTGCCTGATGTTGTCAGACATTTCAAAGAAAAATATCTGCCCAGCACAGTAATTCAAATATATACCAATTCTTCTCACAACACGATCTGTAGAAATGAGTATTGATTCTGAATTATGAGACACTGACAGGTACTCATTGTCCCATTCCAGGCTCCAAGACTTTTCATTAAAGCCTATGTAAGACTTCTCCCTTTTTCTCGGTGTGCTGTAATAGGCCAGACCCACAGCCCAATGGCCACTGCATTCGACCTCCACTACAAAGAAATGGAGTCCGGCAGAGAAGCAAGTCTGGGTGGTTACCTGAGGACTAGAGAACTTTTGCAGCGAAGGAGATTGAGTTAGTTCAATGTCAGTGTATGCAGCCATTTTCTGATATTCAAGTACATCAATATTTTTTGAAGCTGTGTTAACGTTCAGGTATATTTTCTTTGTTTTAATCTCAAGTTCCCTGAGGATGTTTTGTAGTTTCGCATTCTCCTGCTCAGGTACCTTATACATCCCATGATCCTCAGAAAATTTGTTTAACTAGCAAGGCATACAGACAGAATGGTCAGCACTCCACCGATACAACATTCCATGGTGAATACCGCACACTTCACTCACAGAAGTAGCTTTTTTAAGTAATTCCTGGTTACTGAATTTTCTACCACTGTATAAGGAATCATCAGAACCATCTGCATTTCCAGTTAGTTTCTGAGAAGCACATAGTTCCTTAACCACTTGCCTACCAGGCACTTATACCCCCTTATTTACCAGGCCAATTTTCAGCTTTCAGCGCTGCCACACTTTGATTGACAATTGCGCGGTCATGCAACATTGTACTCATATGAAATTTTGATCATTTTTTTCTCACAAATAGAGATTTCTTTTGGTGGTATTTAATCGCCACTGGGCGCTTTACTTTTTGCGCTATAAATAAAAAAAATGTGCAAAAAATTTGAAAAAAAAAAAGTTTCTTTGTTTCTTTTATACAATTTTTCAAACAGGTATTTTTTCTCCTTCACTGATGTGCGATGATGAGGCAGCACTGATGGGCACTGATAGGCGGCACTGATGGGCACTGATAGGCAGCACTAAAGGGCACTGATAGGCAGTACTAATGAGGTGGCACGGATAGGCGGCACTGATAGGCAGCACTAATGAGGTGTCACGGATAGGTGGCACTAATATGCAGCACTGATAGGCGGCACTGATAGGTGACACTGATTATGGGTACTGATAGACGGCACTGACTGGCATCACTGCTGGGCACTGACTGGCGGCACTGACTGGCACAACCCCGTGGCACTGACTGGCAGCACTGCTGAGCTGCACTGGTGGGTGGCACTGGTGGGCAGCACTGGTGGGTGGGCACAGGTGGGTGGCACTGGTGGGCACAGGTGGGTGGGCACAGGTGGGTGGCACTGCTGGGCACAGGTAGGTGGCACTTCTGGGCACAGGTAGGTGGCACTGCAGAGTGGCACAGGTGGGTGCACTGCTGGGCACAGGTGGGTGCACTGCTGGGCACGGGTGGGCGGAGCTAGTGGGCGCACTGCTGGGCACAGGTGGGCGGAACTTGCGGGTGGCACTGCTGGACACCAATCATCAGGGCACTGATCATCAGTGCCCTGATGATCGGTGCCGATCCCCGCTCTGACAACTGCCAGTTCTCTGCAGTACTTTCCTCACGATCTAACAGCGTGAGGAAAGTGCAGCCGAGAACCGGCACATGCATTTCCCTCTGATCAGCGTGTCATTGGACACCGCTGATCACGTGGTAAAAGGCCACTGTGATTGGCCTTTTACCACATCACATGATCAGCTGTGTCCGTAGGAGAGCGCAGATCGCCGAGTTCTGGGAGGAGACGCATTCATCATGACGTCCACTCAGAACTGGCCGGCCGCAGTGCAGCCGTCATTCGGCTATCTGCGGTCGGCAGCTAGTTAAGAGCATGCAGCTTTCTGTCTTTATAAAAGACAGGTTGTCTTGAATTGAGTCATACAGTCTGGGCAGGTGTAACCTCCATTTCCTGTGACAGAATTCAATACGTCTGCAGAATAAATGTCCACAGTTTAACATAACAGGGTCCGAAAATACATTGCAAAAGGAGTAGTAGTTGCCATGAGCCAACTTCCAAAGTAGGTAATAAACACCCAAGCAATTTAGCTTATATGTAAAATCACATATTTTTATTAATCCCTTGTAGGGAGAAAAGGTAATATCTGTGGATGGTGACATGTACAATCACTGAATACACATTAAAAACAATGAAAGACAAGCAATCCGGATTGCAACATTTGAATATTTCTAGTGGTATTCACTTTTGGTTGGTTTGAGATATACAGCAGCATATTAGCAAGAGTTGCCAAAATTCAGCCGTGTATCACAAGGCTTAGTGTTGTGAACATATATATCATGCACACAATATTTGCGGTAAGACAAAAAATGTACTAAGTATATAGCTAGATATGCATAATCATGATCATTAAATTAAATGAGAACTGCAAAAAAGTGCAGGTTGAAAAAAGAGAGAATGAGTGTGTCCATTTGTAGAGTGCAAGAAGGAGATTCCATGGAATTATACAGTGTTGAAGATTCATACTGTCCCATGTTCCTTCATAGCTTGAATACTGTGTGGTTTAAGCCTCCATATATCGTGAAAATATGTAGATATCTTTATCCCTTCTGGGTATTCCTCCAGATAAACATCATGGCAAATGTGTAGTAAAGCTGAGAATAAATTGCAAAACTTCAGATGAGGTGTGCAGCAACATTTAACGATGTTTGGCAATGCACCACACTCACTACCGTTGTACTGGCTAATGACCTAGCCATTTCCAAGGAAATAGATTCTCAGATCATTGAGACTTGATTGTCATGTTGTAGATATAGAGTGGGTTTTCCACACACAGTTCCCATTAGGGTAATGATCTGACCTCATATTATGAGTTGTTCCTCATGCAGAGGAGACAGTAAAGGCTGCTTAACCAGTACACTCCTGGCCAATAGCCAAAAGGTGGCCGGCAAAATGTACTGCATTTCTGGGTTGGACGCCAGATGGCGTCCTCCCGCACATGTGCAGTTTGCACTCCTGTAGAGCCGCACAGCGGCGCGATCTGTCACCGGCCGTGTACCTTGGACATGGCCGATGACAGATCTGAGTATCGGCCCCGTTGCTGGTACCATGTGACCTGCTGTGACCAATCACAGCAGGTCACATGACAGTTGTATACAATGGATGGCTTCATTCATGCCATCCATTGTATACTACTGTCTAGCTGTGAATGGTCACAGCTAATCACATGCACATGTCATGTGATTAGATGTGGCCAAATCACAGCTAAGCATAAAAAAAAAAAAAAAAAACCCTGAATGAATCGATGTCATTCAGATAAATGCTTGCTTATAGCAAAGTAATTCTTTGCTATAAGCAAATTGTGTAAAAAAAAAAAAAATACTGATCACTTCTCCAAAGTAGTACAATGTTACTATGGTAACATTGTACTACTTTGGACATAGTGAAATATAAAAAAAAAATCTTGAAAAAATTTTATAAAAAATTAAAAATAATAAAATAAATATAAAAAAAATATATATATTTTTTTTTTTTTTCATACTGTCACCAGTCAGTGTCCCTGATCACCGCCATGCCAGTTATATGAAGACGCTGTACTGCACTGGTGACAGTATGTAAAAAAAAAAATAGTGAAAATAATTTTTGCATTTTTTCATTTTCCGAAAAATTATGACAAAAAAAATACAACTTCAAAAAACTCTTATGAAGTACGTCGGACTGTCTACTTTGCAAAAAGGGGTCATTTGGGGGATATCTGTACTGTTCTGACATTCTTGGACCTCAAGAAATTAGATTGGCCATCAGTACTTCAGGATTGATCAATATTTAGATATATCCCATAGTTTGTGAACGCTATAACTTTCCTACAAACTAAAAAATACATCCTAATTTGGGTTATTTTCACCAAAGACATGTAGCAGAATACATCTTGGCCTAAATTTATGAAGAACAATTATTTATTTGCAAACTTTTATAACAGAAACAAAGAAAAAATGTGTTTTTTTTTTTTCAAAAAGTTCAGTCTTTTTTTTTGATAATTTAGCAAAAAATAAAAACCCCAGTGGTGATTAAATACCACCAAAAGAAAGCTCTAGTTGTGTGAAGAAAATTATTAACTTTTAGTTTGGGTACAGTGTTGTATGACCGCGCAATTGTCATTCAAAGTGTGAGAGCGCTGAAACCTGCAAAATGGCCTGGGCAGGAAGGTGTAAAATTCAAATGGTTAAATACCCTGTACCTTAATTGGGAATAATGTACAGCTCCCCCTAGTGACTAAAAGTCATCATGACTCATTCAAAAAGAGTAAAAATATCAGTAAGAGTAATTAATCCACCCTGATGGAAAAAAATTTTAACATGGCAAATAATCAGAATTACTTAATTTCAATCCAGAAATACCTTGAAATTAAAGTTCAATATTTAAACCTTTTGGAACCAAAGTTTAAGAGTGTATATCCATAATTTTTCTTTCTGTAACAATAATTTATCAAAATCACCCTGTCTTGGGGAGATGTTGAGAGAACAGATTCCTATTACCTTAAATCATCAATTCGTCCATTATGGACTTCTTTGAAATGTTGGGCTAGTGGATTTTCTCTACCATTTTCTTTAGGTTTATGTTTAGATCTAATATCTCTAAGATGTTCACCTATGCAAACTCTTAATTGACGTTTAGTTTTCCCTATATAAAGTTTTTTGCATGGACATTCTATCATATATATGACCTTGGAGCTAGAACAATAAATGAAATTACGGATATTATAAGATTTAGTTCTCCCAGAGTTCGGAAAGTTCTTGGTTTTGTCCACATGGGGGCAAATTTGACAATGTCCACATGGAAACATACCAGATATTGTAGGTTGTTCAGTTAGCCAATTACTTGATATTGGTTTCCTAAATTCTGATCTTACTAATAGGTCATTTAGATTAGCTGCCCTACATGCCACTATTGAAGGTTTTTCTCCTAGAAACAATGAGTGAATTTGAGGTTTATAAGGATATAAACTTATTTTTGAGGAAAATCTTATTATGAATGGCATATGATTCATCTGAATCACAAAGAATTGATAATCAAAATCAAGTTGAACAAAATCTACAAACCCTCATTGATCTACTGGAAGAGAACAATCAAAATGAAATTGATTCCTCTGATTGTGAGACTAATAAAATGTAAAAGGAAATCTAGATTATGGATAAAATCTCAAAAAATGCCCAATATTAATGATAACAAATGAACTAGTCTCTTTTTGGAACTAGTACTTACAGACGTCAAGAAAATAAACTGGAATAGAAATTTCCCTGACAATTTAAGTAAAGGAGAATGAAAGGCTTTACTTGAGTTAAAAAATGCCTCCAATATAGTAATTAAAAGAAGTGATAAAGGAGGTAATGTGGTGTTATTAAATAGCAAGGATTATGAAGAAGAAGTCAAAAGACAACTTAATGACACTAATACTTACATGAAACTTTCAGGGAATCCCTTTGAAAGGATAATTAAGATTCTGAATCAAAAAAAGTTTATGCCTATGAGGTGAAGTTACTAGCGAAATCAGAATTTAATCTATCGATAACAGAAATATACAATCTCCCTACTTTCTATATCATTCCAAAAATCCATAAAAATCCACAGAAACCACCTGGCAGACCAGGTGTCAGCAGTTAATGGCCCTCTGGAAAAAATAGGTAAGTATGTTGAAGATCTAATAAAAGATATGGTAACTTTATTACCTTCATATATTCAAGATACTAGAGATGTTTTTTTTAAAATTAGAAATTTTACGATGTTGCCACCAATGATTTCGAAAATCGTCCGTTTTTCACGAATGCTCCAGCGTGACCGATAACGAAATGAGGAGGAACCACGAAAATTGGCCGGTGCCATTGCTCACTAACAGTGCGAATATCAGCCAATTATTCTTTCGGACGCAAAATTGGCCGATAAATGAACCATCTATGGCCTGCATTAGTATTTTGGGAACATTTTAAGAAAAGACTAAAAGAAATGTAAGTATTAACACACACTTGTCCAGGATGAAATATAATATATATATATATACACATATAAAATATATAGTTCTTTTTCTGACCTCTATGTGTATGCATAATATATAAAACTACACCTCTTCATAGTTAAGGTGTTACATTTAAAATATTGCTACACCTGAAAGGTGATGATCATACATTGGCAATGACCAGATCTTCTAAGTATTCTATATATTTTGGCAAAATGGTTAGCACGTCTGCCTGGCAGTACTAGGGTCTTTGGTTCAAATCCCAACCACAGCGGCACCACCTGCCTGGAGTTTGCATGTTCTCCCTGTGCCTGCGTGGGTTTCCTCTGGGTACTTTGCTTCCTCCCACACTCCAAAGACATGCTGGTAAGTTAATTGGCTCCTGTCTAAATTGGCCCTAGTATGTGTATGTATGAATGTGAGTTAGGGACCTCAGATTGTACACCCCTTGAGGATTAGGGACTGATGTGAATGTACAATATAAATTACATTGTAAAACGCTGAACA